TCGCCTCTCCTCAAGCTCCAATTCATCAAAAATGGTGAATGGGACGAAGTCCTCTTCTTTATAATTCTGCCTAGACAACCTCGGTCTTGCCTCGATCTTGGCCTTCGATCGTGGTCCTCAATCCTGGGCCTCGATTCTGACCCTCGATCCTGACCATCGATCATGGCCCTCGACCATGGCCTTCGATCATGGCTTCGACCCTGGGCTCGGTTGTGGTTTGATTCTGGGCTCCATTTTGGGCTCGATTCTGGGCTCCCCGAATTTCTGGTAGAAGGAAATTGCAGCAACTATTCTAGTCTAACTTTTGATTCGTTAACCATCTGAAACTCACCTGAGGCCCTCGGAACCTCAACTAAATATACCAACAAGTCGTAAATCATCATACTAACTTAGATGAGTCCTCAAATCACATCCCATAACACTAAAAACATGAATCACGCATAGATTCAAGCCTAATGAACTTTGACACTTTCTATTTATACAAACAGTGCCGAAACCTATCAAATCACGTCTGATTGCCCTCAAAGTTTTCACACAAGTCATAAATGACATAACAGACCTATTAAAAATTTTAGAATCAAATTTCGACCCTGATATCAAAAAGTCAACCCCCAGTCAAACTTCTCAAAATTTGACTTTCGCCATTCCAAACCTAATTCCTCTACCGACCTCCAAATAATTTTTCGGGCATGCTCCTAAGTCCAAAATTACCATACGGAGCTATTGAAATTATCAGAATTCGAATATGAGGTCGTTTACACATAAGTCCACATCTGGTCTACTTTTCTAACTTAAATTTTTAATTTTGAGACTTAGTGTCTCGTTTCACTCAAATTCCTTCTGGACCCGAATCAACTAACCCGGTAATTCATAAAATAACTGTAAAGTATAAATTGAGCAGTAAATGGTGAGAACGGGGTTATAATACTCAAAACGACCGGCCGGATCGTTACATCTAGTTTACTGGCTACTGGCTATTCTCAGAAATTTCTTCAATTCTTGTGGTGGCAAAAAGATGTCTTTCATTCTTGCGGCGCCAAAAATTCTCTTTTTTAATTAGGTGATAAGTTTGTCTTTTTATGTAGAGATATTTGAGATTATTCACCTATGCTTTCAGTGTTTCTCTTTGTAATCCTGTTTTTCTCCTGGTGTTTCTAATTTTCTCTTATATTTTGATTATTTCCTTTAATCCTATTTTATCTAGCATATGAGATTAATTATACACAGATGAGTGACTCTCAATTTGACTCAACTATTAGAAAAAGACGACTAAAAATTGAGGAGCGTCATGCTATTGCCGAATGACTTTTGAAGGAAAGCAAAAATGGAGTTGTTAAACATGGGTCTTTAAAGTAAGTTATGATTTTATTTAATACTTCAAGGAGTACTATGGAAAATATTTGGCAACAGACAAAATTAAGTGTCGCTAACGGTACTCCATTAAATGTGTCTCCGCATATTGTAGGCAGGGTTGGGAGAAAACGAATTCATGTCGACATTAATATGGTAAAAGAAATTCCTCTTTGTTCCTGAACAAATATTCGATCTTTGGAATATGCTATGGATATGTCAACGTCAACTATTTTTCGACGCATCAAAGAAGGAGTTATAGGGCAACATACAAATGTCATAAAGCCTCATTTGACAGAGAAAAATAAGAAGGCAGGACTTCAATTTTGTCTATCAATGATAGAGTTTGGTACGCTAAATTCAAATCCTATGTTTTCAAACATATTTAATTATGTTCATATAGATGAAAAATAGTTTTTTTTGTCGAAAAAATCTGAAACATTCTATCTTCTCCCTGAAGAAGAAGAGTCAAATCCATATAGATCTTGTAAAAGTAAAAATTTCATAACAAAAGTTATGTTTATGGATGTTGCTGCGCGCCCTAGGCTTGCTGAAGATGGAACTGAGTTATTTTCAGGAAAAATAAGGATATTTCCTTTTGTGTTCAAGGAACCCGCCAAAAGGAATAGAAAAAACAGAGTAGCTAGAACTTTAGAAACAAAGCCTATTTTATTAGTCACTAAAGATGTCACTAGGACTTGTTTAATTGAAAAAGTTCTTTCAGCGATTCGATCAAAATGGCCACTTTCGCAGTCAAATACTTCTATTTTTATCCAACAAGATAATGCGAGACCTCACCTTAGTGTTAATGACTTGCAATTTACTGAAGATGCTCGACAAGATGGATTTGATATTAGGCTTTACTTTCAACCTCTTAACAGTCCAGATGTGAGACCTCACCTTAATGTTAATGTCGCTTTATAACTTCAATCAATGTGTCTTTATTGGTAATTTGGGATAAAAAATGAAGCACGTAAGTAAATTACATATGGCTCGCAATATTCCAATTTCGAGGAAAATAATTGTAACTGCAGCAGAAAATATGAAAGAACCAAAATGGAAGAAGCCACGTGCCAACAAACATGGAAAAGATCTGACACTAATGGTTTCACTTTTTCAATATTTGACTTTTAAACCTAACCTAATAAGGTTATATCACAAATTATTTACTCTTAAATTCAGTGGGTCCGTATCAGATTTTTGAAGGAAGGATGGTAAGGGTAATATTGGTATCTCAAAAGTAAATGACCAAATTTAGAAATGTATCATTTATTTTGGAACGAATTAAAAAAAAGTATCTCATCTAATATGAAACGGAGGGAGTATTAATTGCTATTTATGATTTTTTTTTAATTTATAAAACCCATCTTTCATCTACATGTGACAATCTTTACTTTCTGCCAAATTTCATATTGGTCGAGAAAATGAGTTATAATTTTCTAATATAATCTTGAACAATCTTCTACTCGCAAGCTAACTTGTTAAGTTGAGTTAGTCGTGAGAGCCATATTTTCACTACATTATTTCAGAACTTGACACGTCGGTCCTTGTTGTGTTTTGCAATGGCTATTGCATTATGTTATTTATTCTCTGGTATCTGTCTTAATTTTATAATAACTAGACATGGATAAATTTTCAATAATTATATAAATAATGAATCACGTGGTCCGAGTACTTTTTATATTAGTGAGAAGACAATCCACCAGACAGTGACACACAACGACCACCTTAATATAATAATAATAACTTACACGAAGATAACCAAAAGTCGTTCTTACCACTTGAGTTGTTTTGGTTTCATAATTTATTGTATTATATTATATTATATTATATTATTTAATAAATATAATATTTGAATAGATTATATCATTTGTCGTTGTCTTATAATGTCATGCACGCACCAATAATATGAAGAATAAACTATAATATTACTAAAAAAATAGAATACAGAGTAAAATTATTATATAAAAAAGTAGGGTAAATTATAAAGGATAAAATATAATTATTTAATAATAAGGAAAGTCAAGATGAAAAAAATAAAGTAAGATAGCGACGCCACCACACCAAATCAAGCGTTTCATAAAGTGGAACTTTTCAACATTACGTAACAATTTATTTAATAATACGATACAATAAAAGTCAAGTAATAATCAAAACGAACATTGTATTTAAAGTAACAATACAATACAATAAAATAGATAATAATAGTTTATTTTTGTTTTCTAACATTTTCAGTTGATCACTCATTGTGATATCCATCACAATTATGTACGTAGCATCGCTTTATCTTGTACTAATTAGGGTAATGGAATTTTGTAGATTTTCATTCTTTTCTGTTAGGTATTATTTATCCGTACAACAGTATAGTTAAATTTGTTATGTGATTTATAGACACACGAACTGATTTGATCCAAAAATGATAAAAAGATAAGATAAAAAATGAGATTTAGCAATTGAAATTGAAGAAGATAACAAGTCCGGCTCCGAGAGCAATGTTTTCGAGGACAAAAGTGAAAACAATGATAAAAAATGAGTAAAGTTGTTTAATTGAGAGCAAAAGTAAAACGCAACATATGTTTTCAAAGAATTCCATGTCCTACAATGGTTACTGAGCCTAATATTTATAGTTTTATCTAGGTAAACAAGATCCAGGATCAAGCCCCTTTTAAATGATAATAAAAGAGTCATAGATGAATATATAACGGCACGCCATGGATGCAAATATTCTCTGCAAAGGTCGCTCATTTAATGTTAGAGAATATTCCCTTATCGAATATTATCCGATGGCAAACCTTTGATCTCCTCCGGTTAAATATGCTCCTTTCGGGATTTACCCGTCATCAATCACATTTGTTGTGTCCAGTATTAGTCGTTGCCTGATTTGCCTTTTTCTTGCCTTCGGTTCCGCGTGTATACTACCATTCGACCATTTGTTATAAACCAATTTTACCCGATACATATGTGTCAATAAATTACCACATTGGTAGGTGGAAAGATCGATAAAGTACATATTACGCATAGAAATACCATTTATGGTTTTAGGCCTTTTGAGGAATACCATATAAAATGGCACAACACGAACAATTTCACACAATATTAATACAATAGTATTTTTGGGCTGGTTAAACCCAACATTCTACATGCGATATCATAATTAATATTGATGAGGCTCGTTGTGACATCAATATAATATTTGTTGTATTCTTGACAACGACAATGACATATACCGTGAGACATCTTTATAACAACATCCTTATATAACAATACTTCACTATAAAAGTTAAATTTTTTCAGAACCAAATTTCATGTTCTGTTATAATATATTTTTCTCTATAACATCAATTCACTATAATATTCAAAACTATCTGAAACAAACGAGGTTGTTATAAAGATGTCCGGTTGTATAATGAAACTTTGGAACGGTAACAAAAGGTGGAACCTATATACATGTAATGTGTAAAATCAATAATAAAGATTGCCCGACAATCTTTTAATTTCAATATCTGTCATCTTGGTTAGCATTATACTTATCTTTGTTTAATTTTCTTATGTCCGGCAAAACATTCAATAGAATGGGGAAGCCTAATAATTGACCAAATTATTAACAAGTCCTATCAACTTATTAGTATAGGTCTATAAATACGATCTTCCCATTGAAGGAAAAAAGCATCAATATTCACACTCTTCTATCGTACATCTTTAGCCAAAGTATCGTTGAGATGGCATACTTTAAGCAAGCTTTTCTCTTGATTGCTCTCTTTGTTGCAATTACAGGTTCAAAACTTTACCACTATTCTCTCCCTTTATAATAATTATACATATATGAAAATCATGTGTAAGTTTTTGGGTATATTATTGAAGAATTAACTTAAATAGCGGCTCATCCAACCACATAAATCAAAATAGTCGGTTGATGTATAATATATATATTATTTGTGTATAATATGTATATAAATATCCGGTACACAAATATATATATACCGAATAGGAAAAATAAATAGTGAATCAGGCCGGTTATATGTGTAACACTACTAAAAACATAGGAATTAGCTTACGGAGAAATTCTGTAGCTAAATAGAAAAATCCATCGGTAATCCTATTTAGCAATGGATAAAAAGCAACAGATTATATAGAAATGCTTTTAGCTATGAGCAACTTAGCGACAGATCAGCGCCTAAGTTCGTAGCTAATTCCAATTTGTTTTTATAGTGTAAAGATCACATTATTATTCTTAATCTTTGTTATGTTTTCAATGCGCAGTTAATCTCTCTGGGTCTCCTAAGATGCAAGTGATGGCTTTACGAGACTTACCCGAAGATGTTGCATCGATGAAAAATAAATTACTTCCATTAGGTGATATAATAACTTGCCTTAAATATTGCAACGTCGAAAGCGATTGCAGTGATGGATGGGTTTGTTACAATTGTGTTCCATCTGCATTTAAGGGATGGAGATCTCAATGTGACAAGCTTACTGCTACTGGTGAAGGTTATTTTGGAACTAAACTTCGCGCTAAGCACAGCAAAATATAAATTATATTGCTGCAATATATGGACTATTTATAAATGCTTGATCTTCGTGTTATATTCAAGCATTTTAAATAATATAATGTTGTGTTTCCTACTTGTCCAAGTTTGTGTAAGAAAATGAATATGTAACCAAGTTTCTTATATGCAGTTCATTATGAATTATATCTTCTCTATTTTCCCTATTGAAGTGGCACGAAACTTAAAGGGAGATAATGTTTACTATATATGATATGTATAGTGTCATTAACAACTTGTTTGGATGGTTGTTACCTATTGTATTGTATTAATTGTATTGTTACTTTAAATATAATATTTGTTTTAATTGTTACTTAAAGTTTATTATATCGTATCGTTAAATTTATCATTACGTAACGACAAAAAGTATCACTTTATGGAACGGCGGATTTGGTGTGGTGGTATCGTTACCTTGTTTTGTTCTCTCATCTTGCTCTTTCTTAGGATCCGTTTGGCCAAAGATTTTGTCAATTGTTTTCCAAATTATTTTTGGCAAATACATGTTTTGTTCATAAATTTTATCCATATTTTTGCAAATTCCCAAATCCCAAAACCCAAACCCAAAATATTACTATTATATTTTTTTTAAAATTTAAAAATTGCCCCAAACTTTTGTATTTTATAAAAGAGCTCATCATTTATTATTTTGTAATAATGTTGCTTCATCTTTTCGGTCATCTGATAGTATATTATGTAGTTCATTATAAAAATAATAATTTTATACCAAATTTATTTATGTCCAGGACTATGGTTTGTGATAATGATAATGAATGTTATTGATGAAGGTACTGTTGGGTATTTGTGATAGTTTTTAGAACTTGTGGTATAAGTCATGTTTCATATTTTTTTCCAAAAAAAGTGAAATATGTTTTGAAAATTGATGTCCAAATACATTTTCATCTTCAAACCAAACTTCACGTAAATCAGATTTTTCAAAACAAATTTGAGAATCTATGGCCAAACGCTAGCTTAATATTAAATAATTATAATTTATTCTTTACCTTACTTTTATATATATATATATAATTCTACTCTGTATCTTATTTTTTCTTAGTAATGTTGCAAGTTTATTCTTCATATTGTTGGTGTATGATATCATGAAACGACGGCAAATAATACAATCTATTCAAATGTTATATTCATCAAACAATTCAATATACAATCTAATACAATACAATACTATACATTATAAAACGACATGTAACAACAATTACAAGAATGATAATTTTTGTTAGCTAAATCATTTGAAAAGTGTGTTTGTTTGTAATTTGTGTATAGACAATGATTAGATAAAATACTTCTAAGTATTAAATTATAAAATAAAATAAAAAAAGTGCATACAAGTTATCAAATAGTAATAAGTAGTATTTATTTATCAATATAATTTAGCAAGGTTGCTCACAAATAATTGGTTAAACACATATTTCAGTTAATAAATCAATGTTAAATTGTAATGAGATATAAGTTGTGATAACCCAAAATATCATCTTTAAATTTAATAATTAATTTTATGTTCTAAGACCTCGAAAAGCACTATTCATCGTTCCTTCAATTGCGTGCGCAGTCTGTATAATTTTTTGGAAAGTTTTTATGTGATAAATTGATTAAAATGTGAAATCGAGCTTTAAAAACTCAATTGGGTTGACTTTGGCCAACGTTTTTAGCAAAAGGACCCGGATAAGTATTTTGACAGTTTCGGTAGGTCCGTATCGTGATTTGGGACTTGTACTTATATCCAGAATTAAATTCGGAGGTCACTAGCTCGAGTTATCGCATGTTGTCGAAATTTCGAAGTTTAAAGGTTTAATAACTTAAGAGATTTGACTAATGTTTGACTTTGTTGATACTGGGTCTGTATTTTGGTTCTGGAACCCGGTATAGCTCTATTACTATAATTATGACTTGTCTGCTAAATTTGGTGAGAAACGGAACTGGTTTGACGTGATTCGGACGTCCGGTTGTTAAAATAGAAGTTCTAAAGTTTTATTGAAAAATGTTATTTGATTTGGAGCCAGATTCGTAGTTGTAGGCATTTTTTTGGTGTTTTGATCGTGCAAGCGAGTTCGTATGAGGTTTTTGAACTTGTATTCATAATTGGTTTGGAGCCCCGAGGGCTCGGGTAAATTTCGGATAGGCTACGGATATTTTGAAACTTAGAAACTCTGGTTTTTTGTGCTTCAGCTGGTTTTTGATGTTTCCTTCTTCGAGTTCGTGAAGGTACTCTCGCGAACGCGAAGAGTGAATGGACTGGGTGGGATTTTACCCTACACAAACGCGAAGAGCTGTACGCGAACGCGAAGTGGAGGGGGGTTGCCCTTCACAAACGCGGACAGTGTATCGCGAACGCATGACTTTGTGGACCTGGGGAGGGGAAATGACCTATACACTTTGCGAATGCGGCACAAGGCTCGCGAACCTGTAGGCTGATGGGTGTAAGCCTTCGCGAATGCATAGGCTACTAGAGTCGCTGCTTTGCGAACGCGACAGGCTCTTCGCAAACGCGAAGAACGCCTGACGGCCCAGTGTAACGACCTGACCGGTCGGTTTGAGAGTAATAGCCTTGATCCCCTATTTACTACTTCTTCCATATCTATTTCTGCTATTGTGACTTACCGGGAGGTTTCGTTTTGGTTTTTGGAGTGTTTTGGGACACTTAGTCCCTAAATGGAGGTTTATGCCTTAGAATTTGGACCGTAATCAGAACTGTGTGAAGACGACTCCGGAACAGAATTCCGTCAGTTTTGTTAGATTTGTTAGGTGATTTTGGACTTAGGGGCGTGTCCGGATTGTGTTTTGGAGGTCCGTATCTTATTTAGGCTTGAAATGGCAAAAGTCGAATATTTTGAGATTTTGACCGGTAGTGGAATTTTTGATATCGGGGTCGGATTCTAATTCCAGAAGTTGGAATAGGTCCATAATGTTAATTATGACTTGTGTACAAAATTTTAGGTCAATCGGACGTGATTTGATAGGTTTCGGCATCAGTTGTAGAAGTTTATAGTTTCAAGTTCATTAAGTTTGAATCGAAGGGTGATTTGTGATTTTAGTGTTGTTTGATGTGGTTTGAGGACTCTACTAAGTTTGTATGGTGTTTTAGGACTTTTTGATATGTTTGGTTGAAGTCCCAGGGGCCTCGATTGTGTTTCAGATACTTAACGGATTGAATTTGGTCTTAGGCTAGTTGCTGAAGATTTTTTGGTTTCTGGTGTTTTCGCACCTGCGGAGGGGAGACCGCAAATGCGAAATCGCATGTGCAAAGGAGGAACCGCAGATGCGGCCAAAAAGGAGTTGGGTAGGAACCGCAGGTGCGAATATTTTCCCGCACCTGCGAGAGTCGCAGATGTGGGCATTTGGGCGCACATGCGAAGGGGAGTCGCAGGTGCGATGCATTTCCGCACCTACGATAGTCACAGATGCGACAGAGAGTTCGCAGGTGCGAGATGTCTGGACAGAACACTTAAATGCAAAGGTTTGCGATTTTTGCTCATTTTCAACATTTTGAGCTCGGGTTTGGCGATTTCTTGAGAGCATTTTTGAGGGGGTTCTTAAGGTAAGTCCCTTGTGCTTATTTTTGATCAATAATCTTGCTTCCCCATTTATTTTTCCACGTAGTTAGTGTGCATTTAAGGTGAAAATTGGGAGTTGGAGGCTAGGGATTTGGAAAGTTTGATTGTGGATTTGAAGGACCATTTGGTGTCGGATTTTTGTGAATTTGATATGGTTAGACTCGTGAGTGAATGGACTTTCGGATTTTGTGACTTTTACCCGATTTTGAGACGTGGGCTCGAGTCGACTTTTTAGGATGAATTTCGAAATTTTGTTAAAGTATTGATTTCATTAATTAGATGAGTCTATTATGGTTGCATTTATGATATGTAATTGCTTTTGGCTTGATTTGGGTCATTTGAAGCCAGATATTCATGGGAAAGGCATTGTGACCGATTGATTGAGCTTGGTTCGAGGTAAGTGGCTTGCCTAACTTTATGTGGGGGAAATCCCCTTAAGATTTGGAACTATTGTTATGATGACCCAAAAGGTCATCTTATGTTTTAGAACTCGAATCAGCCTTAAAAATCGCATTTTCCCCTTCCTCGATTTGCGTGCACAGTCCGGACAGGTTTCTGGAAAGCTTTTACGTTAAAAATCAATAAAAATAAGAATTTTTCCTTAAAAATTAATTTTTAGTTTACTTCGGTTAATATTTTTGGTAAACGGGCCTGGATTCGTGCTTTGACGGTCTCGGTAGGTCCGTATCGAATTATGGGACTTGGGTGTATGCCCGGAATCGAATTCGGAGGTCCCTAACTCGAGATATGAATTTTTGATGAAAGTTAAAAGTTTGGAAATTATTTGTTTTTAAGAATTGATTGATACTTGGCATTGTTAGTATCGGGTCCGTATTTTGGTTTCGGAGCCCGATACAGTTTTATTATGATATTTAAGACTTGTGTGTGAAATTTGGTGAGAAACGGAGTTGATTTAACGTGATTCGGACGTCCAGTTGGGAAGTTATGGATTTTAAAGTGTTCTTGAGAATTTCATTTGAATTGGTGCTAAATTTAGAGTTCTAGGTGTTATTTTGGTGACTTGATCGCGCGAGCAAGTTCGTATGATGTTTTTAGACTTGTGTGCATGTTTGGTTTGGAGCCCCGAGGGCTCTGGTGAGTTTCGGATAGGCCACAGGGTGATTTAAACTTTGGAAATCTGGTTTTTTTTCTGCAGATTCTGGTACCTGTCATATCCTTCTTCGCGTTCGCGAAGGTCCTCTCGCGAACGCGAAGAGTAATCTGAGGAGGCTGAAACTTCTTCTTCGCGAACGCGAAGGCCTGGTCGCGAAAGAGAAGTGATGGGGGATATACCCTTCGCGAACGCGACCGGCTTAACGTGAACACGAAAAACTTGGGGACCTAGGGGAGGGTTAGTCGTTCCTTCATCGCGAACGCGAGGCATGTCTCGCGAACGCGAAGGCCAGAGGGGCATAACCATCGCGAACGCTAGCTGGGTCTCGCGAACGCGAAGGCTTGGCAGCCAGTACCCTTCGCGAACGCGACAGTGGCCTCGCGAACGCGATGCACACTGTCGCCCAGTGCATAAAACAGAATCAAACATGGGTTTAAGTCATTTCTTCAATATTTTTCAAGAACCAAATGGGTAGAAGCGATTTTCAAGAGC